GATGAAGGAGGAAAAATTTTAGCAGAAGTTCTTTGCAAAAACACAACTATTACTTCATTAGAGTTAAATAATAACAAAATTGATTTTGAAGGTGGAACGGCGTTGGCGGAAGCTCTTTGTAAAAATACAACTCTCTCTTCCTTAAATCTTTCAAATAATTTTCTAGATGAAAGAATGGGAAAAGCATTTGCAGTGGTTCTTTGTAAGAATGCAACTCTCACCGACCTAAACTTTTGTGGAAATTGCCTTCGTGAAGGGCTGGCGGAGGCACTTTATCAAAACACTACACTTATCTCTTTAAACCTTCAAAATAATCAAATTACCTCTATAGGAGGAAAAGAATTAGCAGGCGCTCTTGGTAGTAACATTGGCCTTAAGTCTTTAGATCTTTCTAATAACTTTTGTCGTGAAGCAATAAAGACATTAGCGGAGTCTCTTGTTAAAAATTCAACTCTTACCTCTTTAGATATTAGTGGTAGTTGTAATATTTATAAGGATGAAGCAAAAGCATTAATGTGGGCACTTCGAACAAACACATCCTTAACATCATTGGATATTACTATCAGTCAGCTTTATCGTGAAGATGTTTTAAGAGAAATTTCTAAAGCTTTACACGAGAATGTAACTTTGACATCTTTGAACATTCATTATACTCACGGACCTTCTTTTAGATATGATATACATGAAGAAGAATATCATTATGTAGAAAATGGTCCTGGAAGAGTAGAAGCATATAAAGAGATTGAAGATATGTTGAAGAAGATTAGAAAAAATATTAGAAAAGATATTAAAGTTACTTTTCAGGTTTGAAGTGCAACCAATTTATTTGAACGACCAGATACAGTATTCCCGAAAAGTTAATCAAATACAGATAGCAAATTTCAAACTATTTTTCGTAATCAATTATTACATTAAATCTGTAAATTATTAATAAGTCTAAAAAAATTTGGATTTCAAATTAATAAATCAAATAGTCTACTCGAGGTGCTTTTTTTTAGCATCATTTTTGCAGTGCATACGAGCCTGCTAGTCATGATTTTAATTATATATATACTACGATAACTAATTACTCAATTTTTTTGTCAATACGTTCTATCGTGAGCATTAACCATTAAATTTAATTCAGAATACCACCCTATTCTAAAAAAAAAAAAGATCGTGCATCAAAAAAATTTTATGTAGTATGGGGTTATTAATTGTATATATAGCTGATATTAGCAGTAAATATTATCAATTTTTTATTACAATAAACTAGCTAGTGTTTTTTTCCTAGTACTCAATGAAATCAGATCATAAATGAAATTTAACTTATTTTGTGTACGATTTTTAAATTTTTTTTCCTTTTTTGTTAGATTTTTTTTATACGTACGTAGTTAAGTTAGGGTTTAGGGTTAGAATTATTAGGAAAAGAGCTTATATATATTTAAATTGAGACCCCTGAATTTCACAATGATCTAATCTACAACAGTAAGGCAAAATAATCATTCTAACAGCTATTTACGGTTAGTAGAGTTCCAATCCGGATAAATCCATCATCCGTACCTGAATTATCCGGATAATTCAGATCGCTCAGATATCCGGATAATCCGAAAGGTATTCGAATGATTATCTAGATGTCAATAGTACTGTAAACGAATATCCGGATATCTGATAATTATCCGGATATCAATGGTAAATGGATAGTAAATAGATATCCGATAATTATCCGGATAAACGCTAACTGGGTTGGAACTCTATAGCAGTTCTTTATGATTAGTGCTAGGATGAGAAAACTCATATTATAAAATCATTCCAACAGCTTTTTAAAGTTTTCAAAGTTAGAATTTAGTATTTTGATTATGTATGTTTGTGAGAGGGAAATAAAATTTAACCAATCATAAATTTTATTTCCTGATTTTCACTCTCACGAACTCATATATTAAAAGTTCATAAAGAATCTTTTTTTTTTGCCGATATGGGCAAAATGGCATTTTTCTCTACCATGCATGTTATATGCACTATAGTTTAAAAATATATATGATCTTTAACAGTAAATAATTTTTGTACCACTGGTCCATTTTTGATGATTTTACTACCAAAATGACCGTCTCTATGAGACGATCCCAACGAGTCCAAGCTCATTAAAATCTAATTACTAGATCTCGAGATCGTTAAAGTTTTGTGTTATTTCGAATGTTTAAAATCGGTTTAACCAATTTTAAAATAACAAAACTTTAATGATCTCGAGGTCCAGTAATTGTGTGTTGATGATTTTGAGATCTTTGGAATTGTCTCATCGAGCCGGTAATCTTGGTTGTAAAATCATCAAAAACGGACCAGTGAATCAAAAGTTATATATTATCAAAATATTTTATTCTAACTATTCTTGTATGTGTATATCAGCATAAAAATTGCACGCATGCATGCATCATGCGCATGGTGCCCATCTCTACCCATCACTAATACAGTACTAAGTAAATTATATTAGTCTTTTTGAGTGCGTGAGAGTGAAAACCTTGACCATGATCGGCGTTTTTGCGTAATTCAGCAATATTTTACGGAGATTACGCAAAACGCACTCTTAATTATATCTAATTCACATAATTCACATAATTCACGTGAAATATTAATTATTCAATATGGTACTTAAAATAAACTTTATATTAAAATAGAAACATGCGCTAGTGCAGAATAATACAATATTTATTAATTAAAAAATTTTTTTGCTGATTTATTGATTTTTCTTTTGGCAATAGACTTTCGGTATGAGAACTAAACGAATCTCTATAATTGTTAAATACATATGTTATTGTAAGAATGCAAACAATATAATGTTTATTGTTTTGCCCGTTTTGTCTTTGTTATTATATTCATATGCATTTCAATCTGATACATAAATTAGACTCTTCTCGAACATGATGCATAACAAATACTGTATAAAAAACTGCGCCACAGACAGACGCGTTGAAAGTTCAAAATTATTAATATATAGAATTTTTATATTTTATAAAAAAACATTTTAAAAAAAAAAATTAAAAAAATTCAAATTACCGGTAGGGAGGTCGTACCACAAAAAGCGGTCTATGGTGATGCGTAGTATAATCGTTCATATTAAATCCATTTTCTGTCCATCAGCAATCAGAACCACGACAAGTATATCATGTAACAATCTAGTAAGGATTATGATCCGAATAATCCTCATCCTCAATCCGAATTAGCCGGATTGCGGATCGAAGCACTATGATGAACTCACTTGACCAGCTAAAATATTTTCCACTAATTATAAAATTAAATCCTGATCTATTAATTTAGATGCTTGAAAGCACCCTAAGTTTCTCAAAATTATTGACAAGACAGCAAGAGTTATATAGAAAAATAATCATTTGGATGTGTTTGCTAAAACAAAGCTTCACATTTGATTGGATAATGATATTTTATAAAGGCTTAAATTTGATACTGTATGTACTGGTACTACTAGAACAAATAGATTTTTTCAAAATTTATAGTGGTACAAGTAAAAACAGAAAAGTATAATATTCCATTTGCGGCTCAAATATTTTTTAAATATAATACAACCGTTGTTTAGACGAAACAAATGAAGCGGTATGCTCAAAATCAAGAGTCAAGACCAAGATTTAGATCATTATCTAGAGAACTATAATATAAAACGCCTTCAAATTCGTGACACTATCAAGTGGCTAAAAAGAATAATTCTAGATTCGAATGCTTAAGCTCGTAGCACGAATATGAAAGAGCTTTTTGAGAGAGGTAAATTTTATTTGCGTAAATCTATTGGTTTAAGAATTTGAATTTATATGTGCAATCATTAAATGATCATCATTATACCGACTGCATTATGTAATTAGACTTGCATTAAGACACCCCAATTAGAGTGAGCTATTTACATCATAATCGTGAGACATGATCAAACCGAAATTTTTTACTAGAGCTAATTAAATCCCTTTACGTGACAAATAAAGTTGCTCGTAGTATAAAACTCTACATAATTGATAACGATGACCTGAAATTTTTTATTTATCTTACTCATTTTTATTTTATGCGTTGCGAAAATGTTTAATATAAAGCCAATTAATAAAAAGTAGTTCTAATTTCATTAAAATTTCAAGGTAAATAGAATTTTTACACTACAAATAAACCAAGATCGACTGGTTTAAAGGTTTGTGTATGATCGTCAAACAGCATACCCATTGTATGCACTTTCTGGCCAATGATCAAGATAGAATTCGGATTTTTGCCCATTTCGCCCTACATGCTCATAATCAGATAGTAACCAATTACCATTATTCATTAATACATTATCGATCATACGATCGATCACGAAAAATTTGGCCGTGCACCATTCCTATTGAGAATAAGTCTTTTAGTTTTAAATACTAAAGAACGAATATTAATAATTCATTCCAAAATAATAACTTCCAAATGATTCAAGTCATTGTCTGAATTTAAATATTATACTACATCTATCGAAGATGATGGAACTTAATCATGAGAGACACGGAAATTATAACGTAAATTTTTTCAAAAACGTGGTTCAAGCATCAATAAAACATTTTTAGAACAAAGTAATAGAATAAATTTATCGAGTTAATTACAATCAAATAATTAATATATTAATAGAAACTTTTATTATAAATCTGAAACGAATACGTTGCATGCAACTTTAAAATTTTATGCATGAAAATAAATAGTAAAATAAATAGCTTTAATTTTAATTGTTTATTAAGTAAAACCTTTAAATTAAAATTTGAAAGTCTTTCAAATAAATAAGTTTTAATGTTTAATTAGAGTTTATAATTTTTAAATATTAATCATTAAAGATTCTAAACTAGGGTTTAAAAAGGTATAGCAATATAAAAAGTTTACTAATATAGAAGAGGACATAATAATTATCTGACAATTGAATTTTGTTTTCGGAGCTTTAAGAGTCTTTAGAATCTTCAGAGTCTTTAGAGTCTTTACAGTTAGAGGCTGAGTAATACCAGTATTCAGTATCATAATTACTACGATATAATGTACCATTTGAATAAGTTGTTCCACCTGTTTATATGTGAATTTAGTGGATTAAAAACTATTTAAAAAAATGAATTATAAAACAAACTCAATAAAATAAATATAATAAACAATTACATTGTGTTGCTGGAGGAGCGACGCCACCTTTAGTATTAATTCGAAGAACATAAGTAATATTACTAAATGTACCTTCTCCTTGATTAGACTATTTTATAAATTGAATTAATAAGTTTAAAGATATATATATATATTTTAAGCATTAATTTAAATAAAATACTAACAGTGGTTTGAGTTTCAAGCCATGGAACATTTTCGGGGCCATCGGGAGAAGGTGATTGTGAGATTTTTTTCGCAATAACTAATGAGTTATCACCTTTAACAAGGGATTGCCAAGTAATTATACCACCATTTACGGCTAATATATTAATATTTTTACAACAAATTAGTAATAGCATATAAAAATGTTTATTTTCGATGTAAACACAGACTTACGCGTTTGTTGGAAATAATGATGCGCAACTTCAAATTTAGAAGTAAAATTTTCAGTTTTATTATTATTAATTAAATAAGCGTCCGGACCAACTTTAAATTAATATTAAATGAGAACGTTAATATAATTCAAAATTTAATATCCATTAATAAATGCTATTATCATACCTTGTGACCATGAACCTGAACTTCCACTAGTAACACATTGATATATTTGAACACCTCTACCATAAAGCAAAATTTTAAAACAGTTTCCGGAAGGTACAGTAAGATTTGCTGGAATTGGAGTATCAGGTTGTTCTAAAAAGTCATAATTTGATAAAA